TGGAAAACTCAAATCTGTAAAAATCCCCCCAAATCTGGGCCCTGGGAAAGCAGAGGTTGGGGTTGGACATTGAGAGAATTCTTTCCCTTTGGGATGTGGGATGGAATTCCCAGAGGAAACCACGGAATTCCCTCCGGAATCGCTGCCTTGGGAGTTTTTACCTTTCTTATTCACGTTCTGGGGGAGAGCCTGGCCTGGGTGCAAAATCCCAGGTCTGGCATGGAAAACGAAGGTGGAGTTAACTCAAATCTGCAAAAATCCCCCCAAATCTGGACCCTGGGAAAGCAGAGGTTGGGGTTGAGCACTGGGTTAGGGGGCTGGGATGGAATTCCCAGATTTCTCTATGGAAATCGCTGCTTTTGGGCTTTTTTACCTTTATTATTCACATTCTGGGACAGATCGTGGCCTGGCTGGAAAATCCCGGCTGTGGGATGGGAATGAGAATGGGAAGAGAGGAAAATGAAGGTGGAACCAACTCAAATCTATAAAAATTTCCCCCAAAATTGAGCAGAGCTCCACGAGAGGAATTTGGGGTCGGATACTGGGGAGAATTCCTGGGAATCCGTGGCTGCCCCATCCCTGGAATGTCCCAGGCCAGCTCGGAGCACCCTGGGAGTTGTCCCTGCCTGGGATTCCAGGCCCCTCCCCACCCAAATTCCCGGGAATTCCCAGAATTCTGGGAATTCCCAGCCCGGAGCTGGAGCTGTCCTGTCCCTCCTCGGAGCAGAATTCCCACAAAAACCCCGGAGCTGAGGGGATTTTCACCCCGGCTGCTCCACGCCGCGTCCCTTTGAAAGCCGGGAGGAGAAATTCCGGAATCCCACCCAAATCCCGGGATTCTGGGAGAGGCAGCCCCGAGGGAGCTTGGCTCGTTACCTGCTGGAAGTAATTAAATTAATTAGCGCGGCTGCGCCTGGTGCCCAGAGCCTCCGGCAGCGGCTGCGAACTTCCCGAGAAGGGGAGCGCGTTCCTGGAATGGGAATGGGAATGGGAATGGGAATGGGACACGGGGATGGGGATCGGACATGGGAATGGGAATGGGACATGGGGATTGGGAATGGGACATGGGAATGGGAATGGGACATGGGGATGGGACACGGGGATTGGGAACAGGACAGAGGGAATGGGAATGGGACACGGGGATTGGGAATGGGACATGGACATGGGAATGGGACACAGGGAATGGGACACGGGGATGAGACACGGGGATGGGAACAGGACACGGGAATGGGATTGGGACACGGGGATGGGACATGGGAATGGGAATGGGAATGGGACACGGGGATGGGACATGGGAATGGGACATGGGACAGAGGGAATGGGACACAGGGAATGGGAATGGGACAGAGGGATGGGACACGGGGATGGGAACAGGACACGGGAATGGGATTGGGACATGGGAATGGGAATGGGACACGGGGATTGGGAATGGGACATGGACATGGGAATGGGACACGGGGATGGGACACGGAGATGGGAACGGGACATGGGAATGGGAATGGGAATGGGAATGGGAATGGGAATGGGAATGGGAATGGGAATGGGAGTGTGTTCCTGGAATGGGAATGGACACGGGGATGGGGATGGGAATGGGACATGGGGATGGGACTGGGACACGGGGATTGGGAATGGGATTAGGACGTGGGAATGGGACACAGGAATGGGAGCATGTTCCTGGAATGGGAAAGGGACACGGGGATGGGAATGGGAACAGGACAGAGGGAATGGGATTAGGACACAGGAATGGGAGCGCATTCTTGGAATGGGAATGGGACACGGGGATGGGACACAGGGAATGGGAACGGGACACGGGGAATGGGAATGGGACACGGAATGGTGGCTCTGCTTGGGGACATTCCTGGGAATAGGACACGGAATAGGACACAGGGATGGGAATGGGACACAGGGAATGGTGGCTCTGCTTGGGGACATTCCTGGGAATTTGGATGGGTGGAATTCCTGAAGGGGCTGAGGAGAACTCGGAAAGCCCCAAGGTTTGGAGCCAGCTGGCTGTGGAAACAGAAGGGACTGGGGAGAGGGGAAATTCCCGAAATTCCCTGGATTCCGGGCGGGAATGCCAGACCCTGCACAGGGACAGCCCTGTGGGAATGTTCCGGAACAGCGCTGGCACCTGGGCTGGGTTACAGTTATCCGCCGGGAACGGGATGCAGGATTCCCGGGAAATGGGATGCAGAATTCCCAAAAAATGGGATACAGAATTCCCCGGAAATGGGATACAGAATTCCTGGGATACAGAATTCCCAGTGTCCCTGGGAAATGGGATACAGAATTCCTGAGAAATGGGATGCAGAATTCCCAAAAAAATGGGATACAGAATTCCCTGGATACAGAATTCCTGGTGTCCCTGGGAAATGGAATACAGAATTCCTGGGAAATGGGATGCAGAATTCCCTGGATACAGAATTC